CCGGAGCGGCCGGGCCCGCGGAGGAGCCGGCCGGCCCCCGTCCGTGACCCCCGGCCCCCGGCCCGCGCAACCCCCGGGCGGCCCGGCGCGGCGCACTCGCCTGCCCACGGTCTGGTTGGCCAGCTGCTTCATGCGGTTGAACTGTTTCTTCATGGCGACGGCGGCGGCGGCCCGCGGGGCTCAGGCCGGGCGGGACGGGGGACGGCCTGGCGGCTCCTACATCGCTTCTCGGCCGAGGCGGAGGCGGCGGCGGCAGCGGCGGCGGCTCCCCAGGCCCGCGGCCCCGCCCTCGTCGCGTCACTTCCAGCGGCGCCGCCCGCCGGGCCCGCGGGGTCTGGTCCGGCGAGGAGCGCCAGGCCCAGTGCGGCGCGCAGCCAGGCCTCCGCCCCCGGCCCGGGGGCCGCCCGATTCCCAGCCCGCAGGCGGTCCCCGGGCCTCGCGACGCGCGGCCGCCCAGGGCCCTGCGGTCCACTCGGACCTCGGCGTGCTTTCGCTCAGCGATCGCCCGCCCGAGGGATACTTAACTCACTTCCCAGACTAGATCTCAAACACACGGTGGACAAAGCAGACACAAAGAGTGTAGACGGTGCGACTCCGTCCAAGAACCGCCAAAACTCATCTTCAGGACTAGACACCCGGGCAGGGCTAACTGAGGGAGGAGGGCCGAGGTGGACCCGAAAAGGAGCTTTGGGACGACGGAAATGTTCAAAGTCTTTAGCAGGGCCGTACTTATGCACAGGTGTAGACATTTGTCAAAATGCACCTATCTGTACTCTTAAGAGGGATGCGTGTCACTATGTACATTTTACCTCGATTTTTTTAAGAAAAAAAATGGTTGCGTGAAACTCACAAGCTGCAGGACAGTGTGATGCCACTTAGTAAAAAAGTCAAAGGCAATTAAATATATTTTACTCCTATTCAAAAAGTATTACTCTAGTACTGCTTTTCTTTTATTGATTAAAATCTACCTTGCATATCATTCCGTATAAAAAAAAAATCAGAGGCAAAGTGTGTTTTCTACGAACAGGAGCTCAGAGATGGCACCTTTAGTGCGGCTGTGATGGTGGCCGCGTCCAGGGGGCCGAGGTGGTGCAGGGCACTGGGAAAATCACGGAAGGAGAGGAGAAGAGCCCAACTCCAGCGCTGGGAAGTCATGGATGAACAGAGGCCCGAGAGGGGACAGGTCACTGGAGACGGGCCCTTTGTTATGTCCCAGGCCAGGCCTGGGCGTTGCCAGGCAGGTGTGGCCATTGAGGGGCCCTCGCAGCCCACATTGCCTAGAAACCCCTCACTGTGCTTTGATTCTTAACCTCGCGCTGGCAGCAGTGCAGTGACACTTGGCGGGATTGTCCGACTGTGCTGGACACTTTTTTCGGAGAGGACCAGGTCAGTTCTATGACCTGCTTTGATGTCCTCCTAGTTTGGTGGCCTTGGCTCCTGCTTAGGCCATTCCCTGGGGCAAGTGGGTGGTACTGTGGCATCTTTCACAGGCCACATTTCTAGTTTCACAAAAGATGTGCTGAGGAAGGGAGCTGAAAATGTAGAAGTACCTGACTCTACAACAGAGGAGGTTGAAGACTCTCAGTCAGTCTTAAAATCAGAGGCTGAGAGACTTAGAATCTTTGTAGTGATGTAGACAAGAAGTATGAAACCTCAGAGCTTCAACGAAAGCAGCAAACTGCAAGTTACAGACATCAATTACACCAGAAAGACGTAGAAATCAAACTTCTTAAAGCAAGGCAGATAGCACTAAAGGATCAGTTGCTAAAGGTGCAGTCAGTCACCCAGATAGTAAATCTTGAGGATGGCCTTGTGCCCTCAACTCGTGTACCCTCTTCAATGGGTTATGATATCTATCAGCATGCTTTAGGTTTCCAGAATGATGATATGGACTTTGCTGACCTAATTTCGTCACAACAAGAAATAAATAGATTGTCAAAAGAAGTTTTAAGACTTGAGGCTGATGTCAGCCATTGGAGACATTTTGCTCAAACATCTACAGCATTTCATTTAGATCTATAGCTTTGATGTAAATGAAATCTACAAACTGCAAAATACCATCAAGGAGTTTGAACAGAATCTAAATAAGGAAATTGATGACCATCAACTTGAAATAGCAGTGTTGCAGGAAGTTCATCAACAGAAACTGGCAGAAATAAGTTGCAGGCATCAAAAACAATTAAAGGGGCTTCCCTTGTGGCGCAGTGGTTCAGAGTCCGCCTGCCGATGCAGGGGACGCGGGTTTGTGCCCCGGTCTGGGAAGATCCCACATGCCACGGAGCGGCTGGGCCCGTGCGCCATGGCCACTGAGCCTGCGCGTCCGGAGCCTGTGCTCTGCAACGGGAGAGGCCACAACAGTGAGAGGCCCGTGTACTGCAAAAAAAAAAAGAAAAGAAAAAAAGAGAAACAATTAAAGGACTATGAGGGAATGATTCATGATATGCAAAAAGCTATTGAAGTCCTAGCAGCTGAAAAACTAGATTCCACCAAAAAAAATCAAAGGACTTGAGATTAGAGTAAAATATCTTTAAAAAAATTATCTTCTGTAGAAAAGGAAAGGGATGCTTTCATTAGAGAACAAGACCAGATAAATGAAATTAATGAAAGAACTGAAGAAGGTGAGTTGCAACCTTCTCTTAGGAAGTGGAGTGATGCTGTGACAGAAAAAGAAAAAGTTCTTCCACAGAGTACATCACTGGAAGAAGTGTCCGGATAGCAACAGCCACTGTCTGTTGCTGAAAATGAAATAATGCGATTGAGTAGCTTAAAGCAGGATAGAGATCTCATGGAAGAGAACCTGAAACTTCAAAAATGAGTCCAAGTTTTAGAAAAAGAAAATTCATTATTAAATAAAGAAAAGGAAGAACGTCAATGATCACTTGTCAAATTGAGCAATGAATATGAACTCATTAAAAGAACAGCTACAGGAGACATGGATTCGGATTCAGAAGTACATCATTTAAGGTGTGACTGGGAAAGCAAAGAAGGAGAAGTCAATGAGAGTACTACTTAAAAGAAATTACTGATTTCTGAGTTAGGAGAGTTGCACAGGCAAAAACCAAAAACTACAATGCACGTGGTTTTGATGAAAGATCAGCAAACAGAACAACAAGATGAAGGAGACAGCATCATCGGTAAAGTAAAACAAGATCTAGAATATGAGAAAAAGAGAGTTCGTTAACTTGAAAATGATAAAGTGAACATTACTAAAGAGTTAGATGGGCAAAAAGAAAAGTTAATTCATTTAAAAATGGAAAAAGGACAGTTAGAAGCAGAATTTTTTCAGGATGAACAGAGACTGTTGGAAGAAAGGAAGTATGAGCAAACTATTAAAGAACTGTCAAATACAGATAACCCAGACAGCTGTGCCTTACAGCTGGAGCATGAGTGTTTAATTAAACTCAGTCAAGAGAAAGACCGTGAAATATCAGAACTCAAAAAGAATATTGAGCAGATGATTGCTGAGCACAAAGAAACTAAGGAAATTTTGTCATCTAGTTTAGAAGAGCAGAAGCAATTGAAACAACTCATAAGAGAGAAAAAAAAATTTATTGAAAAACTTCAAGGAAGTTCACAGCTTTGGGAGGAGTTAGATCAATATACTCAAGCCTTAAGAAAAATGGAAATTTTACAGCAAACCATAGAGGAAAAAGATACAAGGCTTGCATCCATGAAAGAAGAAAATAGTCACCTGAAAGAAGAATTGGAATGACTGAGGGAAGAACACAGTCAAACCGCACCTATGGTTGACCCTAAAACTCTAGACACTGTTACAGAACTAGAATCTGAGGTATCTCAAGAGAGAACAGTTGAAGATAATCTTGAGGTTAAACCTCATCGAAAGATAATTGAAGATCAAAACCAGAGTAAAATGCAACTACTTCAATCTTTACAAGAGCAGAAACAGAAAAATCCCAAATACCAACACGAGCAAATGAATATTAAACACAATCAGCTCTTTTTGGCCAAAGGGGAGGAAAAGGAGAATTTGCAAAATGCAATAGAACAAATCAAAACCCAGCCACTGGAAAAATTCCAGCACACGCCAACAGAACATTCTGATACTTTTCAAGTAACAGAAGCTCAGAGTCTTAATATAGAAAATGGAAATGAAAAGCATGACTTATCTAAAGCCGAAACTGAAAGATCAGTACAAGGAATAAAAGAACAGAAATTGGAGATTAAACTTCTAATTGAAAAGAATACCCTTTTAACTGAACAGATTGATCAGCTGTCCAAAGGTGAGATTGGTAAACTAATGCAGTTTATCCAGCAAAAAGATTTGTGTCTTCACGTGAAAGTATCTTCAGCTTCCTCCAGTGACCAAGATAATGGACAGAGTCAACAGCGATTGCGAGCCTCTGCTTTGGAAAGAGAACAAATATTAGCTGTTTTAGATGAGAAGACTAGGGAAAACAGCAATCTTAAAAGAGAAAACTTGAGAATGATGTGGATATAATTGTTGCCAAAGAAGCAGACCTCATGAAACTCAAAGATGCAAATACAAAACTCTCCACCAGATTTGAAAGCAGTGGTCAGGATATGTTTAGAGAAACGATGCAGAATTTGTCCCACATCATTCGAGAAAAAGATATGGAAACTGATGCTTTAACTCAGAAGTGTCAGACTTTACTGGCAATACTGCAAACGTCCAGCAATGGTGATGAAGTGAGAGGTGTTAATATGGATCAGTCTGAGGAGCTTCTACAGGAACGTGATAAATTAAAACAGCAAGTTAAGATAATGGAAGAGTAGAAAGAGCACGTGATGGCCACTGTACAAAATATGCAACGTGGGTCACCCCATCTTCAGACAGAGCTTCAGCAACTTCAGGCACGGGTTTTAGTTGACAATGATAATAATTCTAAACTACAGAGGAACTATACTGACCTGATCAAACTTACGATGGGAATGAAATCAAACTCAAAAACAAGAAGCAAGTAGTGCAAATTCAGTTTAGCCTAGAGCAGCTTTGCAATACAAAGATATTCTGTTAGGGATGTTTGACCTTATTTTACTACAGTCCAATGAATCACTTACATCCGAGTCAGCAGCCTCTCTGAAGGCAATGAAACCTGATGGATTGAGTGAATCTTCTAGATTGCTCAAAGAAGAGACAGAAGAGTTAAGAAAATTAACGGAGGAAAAAGATGCAACCATTAGAGCACTCCAGGAAGGTAATCATAGATTGTCTGATTCCATTGCAGACAGTTCAGAACTAGAAAGAAAACGATGTGAACAAATGGATTCAGAAA